AACCGGGGCTTCTAAAAACACTCAAGCTTTGTCATTGAGCCGAACGTGGTTTGACCATCTGATTTCTTACTGCGGGTCTGGGATTGGAGCAGAGGCACAGTTTGGGATTAGAGAAGCACCGTTCTTTGATGAAGTACCAAAGGAAGCGCTGTATGGTTTGTCGGAGGCGGATCCTATTTCCAATGGCTGGGAAGCGCTGAAGGGACTAAAGCATCTGAACAGACGTACAAGAAAGAAGCTATGGTCCTCAAGAAATTGGGTGCTTCATCTATATGCAGGCAAGCAGCCGAACGAAGAAATTCAGTTCTTGGAGCGTCAAGGCTTTGCAGTGCTGGAGCTGGACGTGGAGAGAGGTAAGAGCCATGATGTATGTGATCCGTTGGTTTGGAGGGCACTGGAATGGGCAGCGAGATCAGGGAGGATTGCTTCGGTAGTTGGTGGACCCCCACAAAACACCTTTATGCTGAGAAGAAGTATGACACCCGGTCCAGATCCACTTCGGAGCAATGAATTCCCCTATGGTGGTTGGTATGGACAATCGCAAAAGGAGTTGCAATTGGTCAATCGGCACACAGGGTTATTCGTCAAGATGATCTACCTTCATGCCTTAGCTACGGCAGGGAGATGTGTTTATCCACCAGAACCAAATGATGTTAAAGAAGTGGGCTTTATGCTGGAGCAGCCAAGGGACCCCAAGACCTATTTGTCGTTCTCGCACCCACTGGTGAATGATTCAGTGAGTTTCTGGCGAAATGGGTTATGGATTCAGTACGCAGAGGAAGCTGGTTTGACTACCTTCAGTTTTGACATGTCTTCTCTTGGTAAGGCATTGTCGAGACACACTACGATTGGAACAAATCTACCTCTACGTCATCTTCATGGATTACGAGGAAGAATCCAGCCGGATGCACAAAGGCCGGTGAAAGCGCCACCATCAGTGTGGACGAAGGAATTCTCTGAATCAGTGTCGATCGCTATTCGAGAGCAGCGCATTTCACCCAGGATGCTAAAGATGTCGGCGGAGCAGTGGAAAGAGCACGTGCGTCGTGGGCACCTACCTTTCAGGTCGGACTGCATGACATGTGTGACGGCAGGAGCTACTGGGAGGAGACACTCGAGAGTAGAACACCCTACTTGCTTCGTGCTGTCGGCAGATGTTAGTGGGCCGTTGAAGGTGCCGGGCGTAGATGCAGACGCCAGAGGAGCATTTCCAAAGCCGCACAAGTATATGTTCGTTGCAAAGCTGAAGGTTCCAAAGACTTTCTTGGATGATGGACGTGGTGTTGGCGTAGATTATGATCCAGGTGAGCTCGAAGCCGATGTTGTTCCTGGGGAGGATGCATTCGATTATGAAGATCCAGAAGAACACGATGGTTCAGGAGGAGACGGCGGTCTAGCAGAGGCAGGAGGAGTAGCGGATGATGAGTTCGAAGAAGCTGATGAGGATCAAGAGCAGTCAGCTCAAAGAGTTAGTCCAGAGGAGGAGCTAGACATGACTGGTCCTGAGACGGTGAATCTGATCTTCGCAACTGCTATTCCCGACAATAAAGGAGCAACAGTATTGGAGGCCATTCAGGATGTAGTGATGTATTGCTGGTCGTTGAACATTCCAGTGGTAAGATTTCATTGTGATCGTGGTATGGAGTTTTACGCCAAGGCTACAAGACAGTGGATTAAGTATCATGGGATGAGGTTTACAACCAGCGAAGGGGGACTACATCAACAAAATGGAATGGTTGAAAATGCTGTAAGGTATATCAAGCAACGTGCAAGAACCCTATTGATTGGAGCCAAGCTACCTCAGCGACTGTGGCCTCAAGCAGTGTCAATGGCCGCCACCTTGCAGAGGTCATCCACTCTGGGCATGGAAACACGGCTTGCAGCTCCATTCGGAACCAAGGTGTTGGTCAGAAGGAGAGAGTATGGTGGTACTGCCGAGCCGGGGAAGCCGGAGCTATCTAGGGCTCTCCGAAACACTGAGACGCGGTCATATTGTGTACTTGTCTGGTGATGATGGCGAGAAGTTTGTGCACACTGTGAATGTTCGAGTGGGAATGCAAGAAGCTCCAAATCAAGAAGAAGATCTCGTTGCTGATCTACCTGGACCACCGGAAAGGAGGTTGCGTGAAAAATCCAGAGGCAGCGGAGATGTGGTTGCAGTTTCGAAGGCTCAGACAGTGGTTGGGAGTGAAGAGCTAAGGGATCGGGGACTCAAACTTCTACAAGACTGGAGCCAGGAGGAGGCCGAAGAGTTGATGATTCATGTGGCCCTTAGCCTGAGTCCTAGCGATCGGGTGTTTGGAGTTTTTCGACATGGTGGTCGAGTTGGTCTTACAAAGGCTACATATGACCATCCTTGGATAGCCGAGCTTTTTGTGAAGGGAATCAAGGGACGGTGTTCGGAAGCTGAGTTCACTGCGGTGTACGTCTCGGTGAATACAACCAGGGATATCCATGTCGATAGCAACAACTTGACAGGAATGTCAAATTATGTTTACCCACTGGCTATGCCCTCGCGTGGAGGAAACTTGTGGGTTGAGCTTGGTGATGGAGATGTGGTGCGAGGCAAGATTTCTGAAATGGTGGACCAGCAGGGAAATTCTCGTTTTGGTTGCGTGCAGAAGTTGGTGCCTGGTACAGTGCATACATTTGATCCTCACCGTCGTCATGCTGTACAACCGTGGAAAGGTTTGCGGGTGGTAGCTGTGGGATATACGCCTGGAGTTCCTCAAAATCTCAAAGGACCGGAGCGTGAAGTCTTGGCACAGCTAACCTTTCCAGTTCCTACCGAGGTTGATGCTGCATCTCCTGTGGTGGCAGTCAGGATGTTGTCTGTGCAGAGCGAGAAAGCTGCAACAACAATTGAGGAGGAGCACTATGATCGGGAGCTGGAGCTGACGGAGGGTGTTGCAACTTCAGATGGCATGGTTCTGTTCGAGAAACCTGCATTTGACTCGGACGAGGTTGAGATAGCTGAAGAAAGGAATCCAGTACAGGTGTCCTATGACGAGCTGGGTCAATGGGATATGTATATGCCTCTGGGAGAAGGAAACCCGGATACAGTTCCAAAGGTTTTACTGGCTTGTTGTGACGGAGTTCCAGCAGTTGCTAAGACTGAAGTGACATATACAAAGAACATCGAGGAGCTGCTCAGCAATTTGAATTCTCCTTTGACAATCGTGCATACAGTGGATCCTTCAGAAGTGACAGCAAATTTTGATCACTGGGAGCAAGCTGCGATCAAGGAGATCAAGTCGTTCGGATCTGCCTCAAGAAAGGTGTTCAGCACAGATCCGGAGGTTCTTCAAGATCTTAAAAGTGGACGAGCGAAAGTGGTGCCAATGAAAGGGGTGTATACTGTAAAGCCGCCTTCAGCCGAGTCCATCGAGAAGGGTGAATGGTTTAGGCGGAAGGTGCGGATTGTGGCGTGTGGGAACATGATGGCAGAATCAGGTGAGGATACCTATGCTGCCGCTGCTCCGGCGGAGGTGGTACGGTCGTCGCTGTCGGTTTCCAGCAGGATGAACTGGGATGCTGCAGTGCTTGATGTTACAGCTGCTTTTCTGCAGACCCCTTTGAGCGAAGTTCAATGCAAGCAAAGGATACTTGGTCAGCCGCCGCGAGCTATGGTACGAGCTGGACTATGTGATGAAAGGGAGCTGTGGGACTTCACCCATGCAGTTTACGGCTTGAGAGAATCGCCTCGATGGTGGGGTGAATTTCGTGATGCCCGACTAGCACAACTCAACATTGTCTGCGGGGACCGACGGATCAAGTTATTGCAGTGCAAGGTTGAAGGGAGTTGGTGGAAGCTAGTTGAGGATGCCTCTCTAGTCGGGTTGGTTGTGGTGTACGTTGATGACCTGCTGATATGCTCGGTTCCTTCAATTATAAGTGCAGTGGCGGAAGCGGTGAAGAACTTGTGGGAGACCAGTGCTTTGTCGTGGGCCTCGGATGGTGGAATCCGCTTTTTAGGGATCGAGATCATGAAGGTGGAAGGGGGCTTCGCTTTGAACCAGGAGCCGTATATCAAGGAATTGACAAGAATCCATTCAATTCCACCAACACAGAAAGATTTGATCCCTGTTGCGCGCGAGCAAGCAGCCTTTACAGCCGAACCGGAAGAAGCAGTTTTCAGCACTGAGGAGCTGAGGCAGGCGCAGCAACTGGCTGGTGAGATATTGTGGGTGTCGCAGAGGACAAGACCAGATATTTCATATACCTCAAGTCTTATTAGCTCTTTGTCGGGACGGGCGCCGCGAAGAGCTACCGCAATAGCCAGAAAATGTATTGGTTTTTTGCAGCGCACATCACAACAGCATTTATGGATCAGGGCAAAGTCCAACGACCTGATAGCTTGGACAGATGCGTCATATGCACCTGACGGCTCTCGTTCCCATAGTGGGTGGTTGATTGCGATTGACAATGCGCCGATCAACTGGCGTTCCGCTCGGCAGAGCACAGTGACTTTGTCGACGGCTGAAAGTGAGCTTTCTGCATCGGTGGAGGGGGCATTGGCTTTAATAAGTGCCGAAGCGCTATTGTCAGAACTCAACTTGGGCCCATGGAAACTTCGTCTACGCTCAGACAGTACTTCTTCGTTAGCAATACAGCGTGGATCGGGATCGTGGCGCACACGCCACTTACGGATCAAGTCGAGCTGGATCAACGAAAGACTGGGTGCAGAGCAGTTGGAGTTGGAACATTGGCCGGGTGAAGGACAATTAGCCGATGCATTGACGAAGCCTTTGTCGAGCATCCGCCTACGGCATCTTGCAAGGCTCATTGGGTTAATGTCGCTTGAAGAGATTGCGGAGCAGATTGCAGTGCAAAGCAACAGCAACAGCAACAGCAGCAGCGGAGCTAAAGCCCCTAACACGAATGGGTTTAAGGTTCTTGTTGCGTTGATGGTGTTGTCTCAGTCTGTTGTTGGCTGTGAAGCGAGTGAGATGACTGTTTACCAACCGATGACGGTGGACCATACCCTTGTGATGTGGTGTGTATTTGCTATGATAGCCTTGCTGTGGACTCTGGCATGGGAGCTGATCAAATATGCTGGATGGCAGATCTACTTTACAGTTGCACCGGGAGCTGGAACAAGGCGCTTACGGCGACTTAGAAGAATCAGGGAAGCAACAACTGAGGCGATTCAGAACGAGATGAACATCCGTCGGAGGGCTGTTAGTTCAGGTTCTAGAGCGGTTCCTGAGATTGCAAGAGCGCAAGATTTGGATCGTCAGTATGACAGTGCAGCTTCTAGAGATCGGGCAGCATCTTCGACAAGGGTGCCAGATACTCCACTAGGTTCTACAAGGACTGTCTACAAGGCCGAGCAGAAGGATAAAGCAGTGCAGACGACTGGTCCAGCCTTTGCTCCGGTGATTCCAGAAGTCAGGACCGAGATCAGGCGAGAACTTCAAGTACCAGAACGGATATATGTGGTGCCTGGAAACCAATGCTATCACGTTTTCAATCCATGTCACGCCTTTAGACACCGTGGAACTCAAGACAGAGTTCAAGCACTTAGGATCTGTGAGTACTGCGTGAGACATGGAGGACGTGATCCTGCAATTCCGGGCCCATCTTTGGACGAGATCCTAAGGTCAGGACAAACACCAAACTACGATCGACCTGGGGTAAACCTGGGCTGATCAAGTGATCCCTGACGGGTCACTGGAGGAGGAGTGAGGAAATTCAGGTCGCTCTTCAAGTGGGCTTCGCAACAGATGAAAGTCAGGGAAGCCGCTGCTTCGCTTCCATGTATGGCTCTAGACAAGGCTACGTAAACCGTCTTGGGTCAGGAAGTTTTTCGGAGCACTTTCGACATGCCAGTAAGAGCATGTGTGTTAGGACCCAATCGCTACGAATACCGAAGAGTATGTTCGGCGAGGGCCTGAAGCTGAGGTTTGTGTTTAGGTGAAAAAAAGAGATCCAATCGCGAGTGCTGCCATGGCTTTTCTGTTGGACTAGCAGGCGCTGCTTGTTTTTTCTGGAAGCTGGCAAGCCTCATTTCGAATTAATATAAGGCCATTATAGGAACTATAGAACAGCAGAATACCGGACAATGTTTCTATGGAGAGCCCTGGGAGCTAGGATTAGGGGGACCCTTGGGGATAAAGACCCTCTCAATAATGTCCCTTTTAAGAGAGCCAAAGGTAGGGTTCAGAAGGGGTACCCTTTAAGGGGTACCCCTATTAATACTACCTAAACAGCAGAATACCCGACAATGTTTCTATGGAGAGCCCAGCATCAGGTCCACACGGTTGAAGCACTCCTCAGCTGCAGTCGCGCAAGGGTTTAGGGTTTAGGGTTTAGGGTCTAGGGTTTAGGGTTTAGGGGGGTTCGATTCCATGAAACAGGGCCTTTGCGGTTTCCGTTCCGATCCACGGTTTAGGGTTTAGGGGTTTAGGGTTTAGGGCTTAGGGGTTTAGGTTTTGGGTTCTGGGTTTAGGGTTTAGGGGTTTAGGGTTTAGGGGTTTAGGGTTTACAGGCCTATGAGCCATGCGCTCTCGACAACGAGAATCAGCGTACCCCCCGCCAATGAGTGCGACAGTATGGCCTTTCCCCGCACCGCGCACTACTGAAAGCCACGCCGCGCATCGCACGAACAATGCATAATGCACCGGCAATTCAGCAACAAGCAGCACCCTGACATAAGGCTGGCAGCATCAACCTTCATCGTGTCCAACGTCCAGGGCATGACAGCATCCACCTTGCCGGACGTCAAAAACTACAAGGCCCTACTATGAAACCTTTAAAACTCTGTGGCCTGTGGCTGCAAACCCTAACTCCTGCGACACCCCAACTTCGGCGACCCGAAGTGTGCTCCCTATACCCAACTCGGAGCCTCTGAGCCTAAACTCTAGACCCTAAACTCCTAGCACCTTGACATGACTAATTGTAAAGGCCCCTGAACCCAAACAGCCGTTCGGGAGTATTCACGATGTAAACTCTGGGGATTACGGTTCAGGAGCATGCCAAGACAGCGAGACTTGTACAGGATCACCCTCTGAAGCTGTGCTTGCCACATAGAAGCTACCCAGGCTCCCCGAAACCGCTTCATCAGCGAAACATGCGCAACGCACGGCGGGATTCATTTCAGGATTCAGAATAGTACCTATCGTCTCCATTGTAGTTCCTTTTTGGGGTTACCTTATAGGATCCTTAGTATAAAAATGGTTAAACCAAAAAAAGGAACTACAATGGAGACTATAGGTAAAATCCAAAATAGAGGGTCACATACACTGGAGAATCCTGGACTCCAACTGAGTGAGTAGGTAACCCCAGTGCAACTAAGCCAGGACTGTTTGCAAGCGCTAAACCCAAGGATTCAAATTATCCCTAAACCCTGTACCTAAACCCTAATGCATTCTCTTTACTCTTAAAACCTGGAGGATCCCATTTCCTAAACCCCTGACCCCTACATCCGAAACCACAGAACCGAAACGGAAACTCTATACACCCTTTAAAGCAGGAAACCGAAACCCAACCCAACTCAACAGGGTATATAAGAGTATAGAGCACTACAAAATCCCCATAAAGCCACCTTAAAACATAAATCCCAACCCCTCAACCCTGAACCCCAAACCCCGAACCAGCAAAACCCAAAGGTCCGGAACACCTAAAGCCTTACAACCCCAAACCCCTAAACCCTAAACCCGCAAAGCTTTACAATCCTAAACCCATAACCCCTTCCCCGCGGGCCTCAAGTCCTAAACACCAAACCTCTGAACCCTCACTCTTACGAAACCCTTCAAGAAGCCCTTGAAGGAACCCTTAAAGGAGTCCTTAACAAGCTTACAAGCAAACCCTAGACCCTAAACCCTGAACCTTAAATTCTAAACCCAAAATCCTAAACCATAAACCCTGACCCTTAAACCGTAAACCCAAAGTCCTAAACCCCTAGACCCTGCACCCTAAACCCTAAACCCTAAACCCTGACCCTTAAACCCTAAACCCTTAATCCTAAACCCTAAATCCCAAATCCTAAACCCGAAACCCTGAACCTTAAACCCTAAACCCGAAGCCCTAAACCCTAAACCCTTAACTTAAACCCTAAACCCTAAACCTTAAACCCTAAACCCTAAACCCCTAAACCCCTAAACCCTAAACCCTAAAGCCGACCTCCAGGCCGGGCTCATGGACGATGACCAGCTCGAGGCGAGAGTGCTCACCTTGGGAGCCACGGTTTAGGGTTTAGGGTTTAGGGTTTAGGGTTTAGGGTTTAAGGTTTAGGGTTTAGGGTTTAGGGTTTAGGGTTGAGGGTTTAGGAGAGTGCTCACCTTGGGAGCCACAGGGCTTTGGGCGTTCATAGTTGGGGCTTTAGGGGTATAGGGGTTAGGCTTTAGGGGTTTAGGGTTTAGGGTTTGGGGGTTGAGGGGTTTAGGGGTTTAGGGGTTTGGGGGTTTAGGAGCTTAGGGTTTAGGGTTGAGGGGTTATGGGTTTAGGGTTTATAGGGTTTAGGGGTTTAGGGTTTATGGGTTTATGGGTTTAGGGGTTAGGGGTTTAGGGGTTTAGGGTTTAGGGGTTTAGGGTTTAGTGGTTTAGGGGTTTATGCGTTGCCTGGTTTAGGGCTTTAGGCTGTCACAGTTGGGGGTTAGGGTTTGGGGGTTGAGGGGTTTAGGGGTTTAGGAATTAGGGGTTTAGGGTCTATGGGTTTAGGGTTGATGGGTTTAGGGGTTTAGGGTTTAGGGGTTTAGGGGTTTAGAGGTTTAGAGGTTTAGGGGTTCAGAGGTTTAGGGTTAAGGGTCTTGATCTTGGAAGCATTTCTCTAGGGTCAAACCGCACTCGCAGTTTTTGTTCGGCGCCTACTTTTCTACATAACAAACCCTCACCATAAAGCTATTAATACCAAGAGGGTAATACACTCGAGAAGCCCCTGTGAAAACACCTCTCTAAGCCTTTAAGCCCGGGACCCGAAATCCTCAAGCTGAAACCTGCAACACCAAACCAAAACATGGCAACATGAACAGCCCAACCCAAACCTGAAACAAACCATCTAAACCACTTCAGACTTGACGCCGACCGAATTAACCCTTGAACCTAAACTTAAAGGGCTTGGGGTTTAGGGAGCCCGACAATTATAGTTATAGTATAAGATGCCCCCAAAACCCTATTCTATTTTTTAAAGGCCCCTCTACTAAATCCTTATAGTAAAACCCTTATAGTAACCCTTTAAGGATCCCTTTAAAGGAGCCCCAAAACCCTGTTCTAATTATTAAGGCCCCTATGTTCGAACCGTTAAGCCTGCAACCCTACACCCTAAACCCCTAAACCCTGAAACCCTAAACTCCTAAACCCCTAAACCCCCCAACCCTAAACCCTAAACCCTAAACCCCTAAACCCCAAAACCCCTGAACCCGACACCCTAAACCGATGCCGCGATGCTTTCCAGGCGGTTCAGATCCCGAAGCTTCACCTCATCAGCCTCAGCCTCAGGAGCTTCGAGGTTCCTAGGGGCCTTTTTGAGGGGTTCAGGGTTTTAGGGTTTAGGGTTTAGGGTTTAGGGTTTAGGGTTGAGGGTTTAGGGTTGAGGGTTTTGGGCTTAAGGGGTTTAGGGTTTAAGGGCTCTATAGGGTTTATAAGCCTTAGGATTAGGGATTTTAAGGGGCTTATAAGGGTGGTTCTCTAGATTAGGATCCCTTGAGGGTCCTTTTTATAAGGGTGCCGCACTATATTTGGGACCTTAAAAAGGGCCCTAGTTTAGAGAACTACCCATAATCATAAGGGGTTTAGGGCTTATATATCAGGGCTCTATAGGGTTTATAAGTGTTTGGATTAGGGGTCTTAAGGGGCTGAAGGGTTTAGGGTTTCGGGGTTTAGGGCATACGAGGTTCAAAGAGCTGACAACGGGTTTGTAAGGGTGTAGACGGGGCTAAACTGGTCTGTGGGGGTTTATACGGGTTTAGACGGGTTTGTAGGGGTTCGGATCTGCAAATCCCCGCAACTCGAAACCCTAAACCTTTAAGACGGATTCTGAAAGGTTTTAGGGTTTAGTGTTTGAGGGTTTGAGAGTTAAGGACCGGGGTTCGTCGTGACTGTTTCACGTCCTTCTGAACGAAGGGATCCATGTAGCCACTACCACAGAGGTACATGGACCGGTGTGGGGACTTCCGGTTTCGATAGTAAATGAGCCTTGGGCAAAGAGCGGGGCCGGGGCTTAGGATGTATATATGACTTGGGGTTGCGACAGCAAGCGGAGCCAGCAAATTAGGTGCTCATGTTGAAAGTCTGAGTGAAGACGGGGCAGCCCCCATGGTTTAGGGCTTGCAGTTGGGTTTAGGCCGCTATGATTGCAGTCAAGTCTCTGGCTTCTCACCACGGCGCTTGAACAGCTCTGAGACCATGCCTCATCCAACTTATCCACAAGGAGATTCTTGGTCACAGTAGAGTCTTACCCAGAGGGTCCAAGTACCCAAGTAGTAGGGTTTTAGGTCCCAAGTTCCATATTATGAATGGCTTTTGGCACCTGAAGCCCTACTATTTGAGTACTTGGACCCTTAGGGTTACAGTTTAGGAAATCTCAAACTCAGCGATCTGATATAGAGGCCTTCATACCTTTCCTTTGAACGGGTCTGGGCGGTATGCTATACTACAATAGACTGTGGGGACTAGAGACGATAAGGGCATACCAGTACATGTTCAAATCTCCTTAGAACCCTTCTTCTATCAAGGCAAGGATGACGACGTTGATTCAGTCACGCTGAGTACGCGGCATCTCACAGATCCGCCGCCAAGCCTGCCAAGGAGCAATACATACCGACATGTTTGGACAATGCAAGAAATATATGCAGCTATAGATGTACATAGCAGGATGTACAACCTAGTCTGCGGGAGCGCACGTTTTGATCAACGAGTGTTTCAGCCCGCATATTCTATCTGCCTGACTGCCAGCATACATATGCATGCTTATATATTGCTGTAGACGTATACGGAAGCAGGATGCTTATCACTGGTATCCCCGTCAGTCAGCCCAAAAGCACTGACGAGCGTTCCTACGGACCACTTTACAACCCACCCGAGCTCGAACATATCACTGCTTCATGCGAACTGTGAACTGGTATTATGTTCTGGCTTAACAAGGCTCTAACCCCTTTGCAATGTTAAACCCCGACGCTCTTTGCTGTGCCGCTGCTGTGCACAAGTCTGGCGAGTCCAGATCCACAGGCCGGAAGAGACTGGCGACTGCGGGGAAAATGGAGATGAAATTGCGAATCTTTTGGTTCAGGCATCTCCTCACTTCTCCAAGAACGCAGAGAATGTAGGCAGTTAAACCTTCAGAATGCCAATCGAAAGAATCCCTAAACCATAAACCCCGAAGTTCGGTATTGGAGAACTAAGTCTGAGGGCATACTGTACAATGATCCTCATGCAGGACGGATGGTAAGCACCCCAACCAGCCACTCTGTGCTGGCTTGCTGGGACGCAAAGTTGAAGCTAGTGGAAGAATGCAAAATAGGCGAACAGCCACGCCAACCATAAAACAAACATGTTAGCCCAAGCACAGAGACACAGCTGGACTTCCGGACGTTCGCGAGCCGCAGCCATGATCACGTCGAAGACCCGAGAAAATCTCGACTTGACCTCCACGCCCTTGGCCTTGAGACACTCTTCCAGCCTGCCTGGAAACTTCAGCAAACTGTCGAGATGCTCCAGGTGTTGTTCATGGTCCATGCGATCCGGAGCAAGCGGGACATCGAAATCGCAGTATTCTTGGCACAACTCCCAAGAGTTGGCTTTCACCAGACTCTTTCGCATTTCCTTGTCTATGGGCAGCGAGCGCTCCTCCATGAGAACATGGCTCAGGCGCCGCGGCACTCGGACCTCAACCACGTCGCCAAGCACGACGGAGTCGTCGTCAGAGTCATCGGATTCCTCGGTATCATCTGTAGGCATGCCATCAGGACACACGGTTGACTGAGTTTCAATGCTCCATCTCCTCATGCTCTTGACGACACCATCGCCGAACTGCGATTCATCGCCCGTCTTGACCAACACGCAGCCGGTCAGGTCGTCGCCGGCTGAGGGCGGAAGCTGCATGCCTAGTAGAGCTGCTTCCTCTGCTTCCGACCTCTTGTGGAGAGGTCCCGTGAATCTCCAAACGGCCAGGCTACGAGGAAAGCTGACTCCGAAAAATGCCGTCGGATTGAACCCGGGTTTAGGGGTTTAGGGGTTTAGGGTTTAGCATAGTTTTAGGGTTTAGGGTTTAGGGTTTAGTTAAGTTCTTAGGGTTTAGGGTTTAGGGTTTGGGGGATTGAACCCCAACTAGAAGGAGTGGCGTAGAAAAGGGATCCAAACATGACTATAAGGTTCAGACCCTCAAAGAAGGGGGGGTTTATCAATCAGCTTCGGAATGACCCTACCTTAAAGGGGTATTCTAACAGGAACCCGACTATCAAGGCAGCTAGGGTCAAATTTTGAGTCGACCTTCGGCTCCCTTCTTTGCTGAATCTGACATTTTCGCGACCGTTCCGGACCCTAAACCCTAAACCCTAAATCCTGGCTCTTTGACCCCTTCGTCTAGGGCTCAAGGTCCAAGGGAAGCCAAGCGCCTGAACAGTTCGTCTGTAACGAAGGCTTGGGCCGCACAGTAATATAGAGGCCTTAATAGTTAGAATGGGGTCCTTTAAAGGAATCCTTAAACGGTTCTATCGGTTTAGGATTTAGGGTTTCGGGTTTAGGGGTTTAGGGGTTTAGGGGTTTAGGGGTTTAGGGGTTCAGGGTTTAGGGTTTAGGGTTGGAGGCCTAACGGTTCGAAAATAAAGGACTTAATGATTGGAGCAGGGTTTTGGGGCTCCTTTAAAGGGTTCCTGAAAGGGTTACTATAAGGGTTTGCTATAAGGATTAAGTAGAGGGGCCTTAATAATTAGAATAGGGTTTTGGGGGGTAGAATATACTATGCTTATGATAAGGAACCTCCAAAATAGTTATCTACTATTATTGAGGCCCATAAAATTCCACAATCCAGCTCTCGAAGAAGGGGCTTAGGGCTGAGGCTGTATAAGGGTTTATAAGGACGACGACAAAGGTTCTGCTTCATTGTGGAAACCTGCACCCATGGATCAACCAACCCACGACAACCACAGAATCTACGATTGTGCCCAAAATCCTCGGCGCGCCTCTCCAGCACAGGCACCGGAGCGGCAACCACCTGGTCCACGCAGGACCTTGTTGTGGAAACCCCCTCAAAAGCAGCCCAGTAGATGAGCTACCTGCAGCTTGTTCTGGACAGCCCAAATAGCCCAAAGCAGGTAGTTTTTATAGACCGTAGGCCACTTTTTGACCCCCCAAAGTAGGTACTGTTTGTATCAAAGCCCTAAACCCTAAACCTAGACCCCAAAGTAAGTACTACTTGTATACTTGGAGCCCTAAACAACTGGGCTTCCCGGGACAGTTCGGTCGAGAACCGGGCTCCAGCACGCTGCGCTGCGTGTGGTCGAAGGCCTCCCAGCCGGCCTGGCACTAGAAGGAATGGCTGGTAAGAGTTTAACCCTAAACCCCCAAACCCTAAACCGTTGGCCTCAATGCTACCCGAAAGGCTGGGGTTTAGGGTTTAACTAGGGTTTAGAGTTTGGGGTACCCTAAGGCTCTAAGGACTCACATTCTAAGGCTTTGGGGCCCAAAGACTGTATTATATAGGGCTTTTGGGCTATGTTGAGCCTTGGGGTAGGAATATCCTCTTTATATAGTCTGCTGGTGATATCTTACAGTATGAAAACTAAGCAAGGGGGCAATACCATTGTGATACATTCGAAGTCCTGATGAAAGAAGCGAGAGTATCTCATTGTTTACCGACAACCCGAAATACTACTGCCAGGAAATACCCAAAGCCCTCTTCCAACATTTGCGACCCCTGTTAGACGGGACAGCAGCTTGGCCCAAACCCTCCTTGTTAAAGCATAAGTATAGGGGCTGAGTTTTTGAACTTGAGCTTTGGGAACATTTCTATGATCATAAAAGAGAGCCCGGAGGTTTACTATAACCAACTGCTTCATGCCCCTAGCACTACGAAGCCCTAGACCCCAAAACCCTCGCTTGGGAGGTATACCTTGCAGCCGATATCTAACTGGGATGCAGGCTAAGCCTAAACCCTAAGCCCTAAACCCTAAACCCTAAACCCCTAAACCCTAAGCCGTCCTCGACCATGAGGATGCAGCTATCCTCGCCATCGTCGGGGCTCGCGGCAGCACTCAGGCGCAGCACCGGCATGGAGA